GCATTTATTTACTATTGATAGAATATGTTAAGTAATTATACAACGTAAAATTTGAACATTTAAAAAAGATATTTTTGATATACTTTAACAAAGTAAGGAAATTAATAACAATATATTTGGAATAATTAGTAGTAAACATAAACTTTTTCAAGGTAAAGAAGATTTATTAAATAAAGGACGGCGCTACAAATTTTCAAAAATGTGTCGCAGTGATGCATTGCAACAGTTGCAAATGAAGCAAATAGAAAGGGATGGAACACCAAAACGAAAAACCAAGGTAAAAGTGTATAGTACAAATTTGAGGTATTAAAAATATTACATATTTTGTATTCTCATACGTAATATATTACAGATCACGAAGAAAACTCTGCAAAATTTCGGAAAAAAGAAAAATGGGCAAAATGAATTAAAGAAGTATCTCAAAAACAGAAAACACTTATATACAAAAAATAACAATAATGAAGATACGGATCTCTCTAATCTATCCTCATCCGAGCCCAGTACATCGTACAGTACGCATAGTATGTCGGACACCGAACCAGAAGTGGAGGCGTCTAAAAATCAGGCATCTGGCACAGGAAAATATACTTCTAACAATAATCATTACATGTCACCAGTAATTTGATCAAGCTTCATTACCATCATTATTATACTTTGTATTGTGTATAATAATTATACATATTTTGTAAAAATTTTATACAGATTACAAAAGAAAAGTCAAGAAAAATAAAGCAGCAGTCAAGAAAAATATATTCATCTTCTGACAGCAAACAGGAGGATTCTGACAAAAATGAGGTAGCTTGCACTCGGCAATCATCTCAATTAGCAGGCACATCAGAAGAACTTCAACAGCCTGAAGACAGAAATGAAACTCGCGGCAACCAAAATCAGTCATTAAGAGCATCACCAAATAGACCAAGTAATTATGTCAATAGCAAATATATTGATTCGTAATTGTAATAAAAAACTAAAATAATATTTTTGTACAGAGAGTGGTTGCACTCGGCAATCATTTCAATTAGGAGGCACATCAGAAGAACTTCAGCCTGAAGACAGAAATGAAACTCGCGGCAACCAAAATCAGTCATTAAGAGCACCAAATAGACCAAGTAATTATGTCAATAGCAAATATATTGATTCGTAATTGTAATAAAAAACTAAAATAATATTTCTGTACAGAGAGGGCAGAGAATGTTAATGGTAACACTCCAAAGCGCACAACCAACATAAGAAGAAGGACGCTGTATCGCCTAAAAAATAGAGGTATAATTTATATTCTAAAATTAATTTTTAATTTTAAATACTAATTTATATGTTTTTATTATTAATATTAAATGCAATGTAAATTTAAAATGATATAACAAAATATAAGTAAATGTAACTTTGTTGGTTTTAAAGTATAATTGTTGCAAAACATTTTCTCATATTTTCTCATTATTATTATTTAACGTTGAATTTTTTTTCATTTTTGACAATTTACAATACTTGGTTCATTTTCATTTTATTGCTTTATCTGCAAACTCTATTTAGTAATATTATTTCTTTAGCTGAACCAAGTGACTCTGATGAAGAATATGCGGATGTGTATAACAATAGACTTCAATCCGAAACAAGAGAATCAGTAGATAATGAGGGAAGAGAATTATATGACATCGAAGGCGATGAGGTATAGTTATTTAAAAATAAATAATATAGAAAATATTTTTTGATATTTACTTGACTAGAAATATGTATTTAAAAATTTATTTTATGAATTATTGTATTAAATTTTCAAATATATATTGGCTATGGACGAACGATTCAATTAGCATTCTGGGAATACGTGAAACATCGCGGTCATTGGAAATTCCTGAGAGAATTATTGGAAATTCTCTGGACGAAAAAAACATTAGTAAATCGATGCTTCAAAAAATCAAGAATAACTACTGAGATAGAAGATAGATCTCTTAGAAAACGTTTCACGCCGACGAAATATAAACTTTTACGTCGTACGTATGCTATAATTGTTTATAATTGAAACAAGAAATTAATTATTGACCATTTAAAGACCAGATTAAATACATATTTCTAGTCAAATAAATATAAAAAAATATTTTCTATATTATTTATTTTTAATTTATTTTAAATTAATTTATTTTTTTGTATTAAATTATATTTAAAAAAAAGAGATGAATTAATTTATTTTAAATTAATTCTTTTTTCTTTTAATACTTTTTAGAGTAATTACTTGATGTACCATATTGTAAAATATATACTACTTATTGACGTTATTAACACTGTTTTTCTTTTATATAGGAATATTCAAAGACTATCTCAATGAGATGTATGGAAATGCTTCCAAAAAGAAGAAAATTCTACAAAATATGAACAAGCAGATTGGTTACAAAATTCGAGATCTACGCAAACTGAACTATAAAAAAGTTAAAAATATTTAATATTATGTATTCATTCCAACTTATTAATATATTTAAATGCGCATCAGTAGTACAATTCATCACGATATATATAAAAAAAAATAAATAATTAAATATTATATAATTATAAAAAAAAATAAAGATATATAATTATTTATATACAAATATATTCTGGTATTAAAAGTTAATAATTGAGTAGGCGATATTTCGAGTAGAGTGTTTTGTAAGATTTACGTTTTTTTTTTTATTTTTGTTGGAATATGGACATGACCATGACTATTTTTTGTTATATTAAACATCAGGGTATTCCATTTATTTGAATTCTATTCTAAAGTTGATAATTTAGAGATTCACTAGGATTAAGAAATTATTCTGAAAGAACATGCGTTATTAAAAAACTGATATTCTGTATATAATTATATATACATACGCGCGCAAATATGAAAAATGTATTACATAAGGATTTATATAAATTGTAATTTTTGTTTTACCTTGAATAAAACATTAACTTTTTTAAAATTTAAGTATTCTCTAATTTAATATAATTACACTTGGCAATGTTTTTATTAATTGTATAAAATAATTTTTTTTTATATAAAATGGTTAATGAGATCGCATAAGAGATCTCATATGAGGGTCATATATATATATGAGGTCTCGTAAAAGATATCATGTGAAGCTGAAATGAGATTTTGGCACAAAATGTCATGTGAGATCGCATACACGAAGCTGTGCGCGAATTAATCAGAACTCTCATATGAGATCACATGCAGGATCACATATGTGTTGTCATACGTATTCTCACGCGATAATTTTTAGCAGGGTTATTTAATGTTAATTTTTGCAATGTATGAAAAGTACAATATAATACTACTAAACCGACTTGTGAATTACAGTTATAATCAAAAATGCTGTTTGGAAGACCGGGCAGTCACGGCAACATCGGTGGTGGGAATAGCTGGCGGCGTACACACTGAAGTTCGCCGCCAGCCATCCCCACCACCGATGTTGCCGTACACACCGAAGCTAGCCGAGCGCTCGTCGCTTCAGTGTGTACGCCGCCAGCCATCCCCACCACCGATGGTGCCGTGCTGCCCGGTCTTCCGAACGGCATCCCTGATTATAACTGTAATTCACAAGTCGGTTTAGTAGTATTATGTTGTACTTTTTATACATTGCAAAAATTAACATTAAATAAGTAAATGATTCTTGCTTGCTATACAGGGTGTCCGAAAAATCGCCTACTCCACTTTGGGAGGTGATTTGGGACCCAAAAACAAGCAAAAAAGTTCATACAAACATAGGTCTGGAAATGAGCCGTTTCCGAGTTATAGCCACTTTTATGTTCAAAAATCGTAATTTAGAATCCGCTTGACATCCCTCTTTCTTAATTATTTCTTAAATTAAAAATTTTTATTTTTAAATATCAGCTAATTCATTAAAACTTAAACGATCCATTGATGAATAC